GCGCGCCGAAGTCCCAGGAGGCCGGCGCCGAGACGGGCGGGGAAGCACAGGGTGGCGACGCGCTGGCTCCGGGGTGCTGGTCAGAGGGGATCTCACCACTCTTCCACATCTTCTTGAATTTGGACCGGCGGTTCTGGAACCAGATTTTGACCTTTGTGGAAAATGGGCCAGAGCGTTATTAGAGGTACCTCGGGGTGGAGAAGAGACAGACACTGTAGTTCAGTCCCGGAGAGCTAGAAGGGGGCGCCCGGCACCCAGGGCGGGTAGGCAGGTCCCGTGCGCGGACTACTCAAGTTCGGACGGTTGCCGCTCCCCTGAGCGATCACCCCCAAAGACGTTAAGACTGCCTCGGTGTGTGTGTGTGTGTGTGTGTGTGTGTGTGTACAGCAGGCGGCAGTTAGCAGGGCCAGTTGCTTTACCCGCTTAATTAGTAGCGCGCTAGGGTAGACTATGTGGTACAGGATTTCTGCCCCAACAGTGTCCCCCTTCCGTCCCTCTCCCACCCGGGCACTCCTAGAAGATTTCGGCCTCGTGCACAGAGGTCGAGGCTGTCCGAGGCGCAGGCCTAGAAATCCTTAACTACTCTAAAAGACACTCTCAGGAAGCCGCCTGCTTTCCTCCCAGGCCGGCGCCCATCACCCCGCGGGCGCGAGCCCCCACCTGCGTCTGGGTGAGGCCCAGGGACGCTGCCAGCTCGGCTCGTTCGGGCAGCGCCAGGTATTGAGTCTTTTGGAAGCGCCGCTGTAGAGCCGCGAGCTGGAAGCTGGAGTAGATGGTGCGGGGTTTCCGGACTTTCTTTGGCTTCCCGTTCACTATCCGGATTTCAGGCTCCAGTTCCTCCTTCTCTGTAACAAAACGCAACGTGAGAGCCGCGCAGCCCGGGGTCCCGAGAGTTCCCGCCCGCCGGCTGGGCCCCGCAAGGGACTCGTCCTGAGCCTGGAAGGCGGCTGCGTGCCCCGGGGCGCGGGGCGCTAGGCGCGGGTGGAAGCCCCCTCCGGAGCCTGCAGGTGGAAGGGTGAGCAGACAGGAGAGGCAGGTGGAAAGGAACTCGAGGTTTCCACGAGGCATGCACCGCGCGCCCGCTCGGGCCTTGGGGCCACCGGGTCCCACCAGCTGTGCGCCGCGGGGCGAACCCGAGCGAGCTGCCGCCGAAGGAAGGCTGGGGAGGGTCAAGGGCGCGAGTAGCAGGGTTCCCGGCGCAAGCCCACCCGCAGCCGTTTAATCCCACGTATTTCAGTAAGCAGACAGACTTGGCACCCTCCGCGCCAGCGTTATGCATACCAGGCTCGTGGTTGGCCGGGGACGAACTGGTCCCGTAGGGCGCGTAGGAGGTGTAGGCAGCGGTGTAGCCCAGGTCGTAGCCGCTCTTGGTGGAGTAGGGGACGTTGCTGAGGCCGCCGGTGTGGTACTGGTAGGAGCCCATGTGCGAGTAGGGTGAGCCCCCGCCGCCGCCGCCGCCGCCGCCCGCCGGGTGCTGCTGGTTGGTGTAGTAGCTGCTGTCGGTCGCTGTGGACACCGGGAGGGTAGGCGACTCCTGGGGCTTGTGGAGGCTGCTGCTGCCGCCTGGGCCGGCGCCGCCGCCGCTCGGGGGCTGCTGGTGCTGGTGGTACGTGCTGGAGGCCGTGATCTGGGTCGAGTGCATATCAGCCACCAGACTGTCAAAGACTCCAGTCATCCTGGCCCGGGACGGGAAAGACCAGGGGTGGCAGGCGCGCGGGGGGCAGCCAGGCACCTCCTCCGGAGCAGCAATGTAATTACGGGGGAGGGAGGGTGGGGGGAGGAAAACAAGAAAAGTGGCAACGGTCTAGGCACCTCCTCCTCCGGGGGAGGCGGTCACCGCGCGCTGCTCGGGACAGCGGCCGCCCGCCGCATGCTCTCCTCCTCGGGCCGACTCGGCTCGGTGCCCAGCGCGGGCTCCGGCGGGGGGCGAGCAGCCAGGGGGCAGGGGTGGAGGGGCTGGACCCGGGATCCAGGAGGTGGGAGGAGGTAAGCGGCCCCGAGCGGCTTTTCGATTGTCTGCCGGGCGGGCTCCTGCAGGGTGGGCATTTAACACGCGTCACGTGAGCGCTGGCGACGTCACCTAGCAACAGCCAATCCGAAGCGCAAGGCCGCGGGCCTGCGGGCTCCGGGGAACGCCCCGCTGGGGGGCGGGTGTCGCGGGGCCGGCGTGGCCACCGCCGATGCGAGCGGCTGGGCGACGGGCCAGGGGCCAGGGGCGGCGGACGCCAGAGGCTGTGCAGGGGAAGATTCAGAGGAAGAAGCGGGGGCATCTCCCAACGCAGTCTGTGTCCAAGTGCTCCCCAAGTCCAGAGACGCGTGCGTTCTCGTCCCGGCTCAGTTTTCAAACTCTTTCATCAAAATAAAGCGGTGCCGAGAGCCGGGCCAACTCTAGTCCCGCTTTTCCTCGAAGTGTTTGGCACTTACCCTTGTCAGCTACTCGCCACTTGACATAGTCAATTGATTTCAATGATCCATAAGTCACGAATAATAAAAATAATAATAACTCCCTAACCAGCCCACAGGGGGATTAGGACAATTAATTAGATAATATTTAAACAATTTCCCCTCGTTGCTTGAGAGAAAAAGGCATTACAGTTAATAACACAGTTGAAACCACTTTCCCTTCGTACTTTGCTGACACGCAGAAGCTCTGAGTAATTATGCACATTTGATGGTTAATTGACACCCGAAAAGTGATCCTGGGTATTTCCTCCTTGGGCTAGAACGCTACACCAGGCTGAGCACACGGCCTTCTAAGTTCATTTCAACGCCAGGTTCTGTGTACTTAAAAAAAAAAAAAAAAGGGAAGTGGAATCATTGTTAGATGAGACAGTTCTCTGGATACTAGATTTAACAAATCTTCGCGCAGTATAGAAACTTTTATCTCGTGCATTTAATGCAACCCCATTTTACACGCTGGAGCCTTTTTCTGCCATTCTACGGAAGTTTCCTCTGATTTGTCATAAGAGAAATTCAAACCGTGAACTGGTGACCTCCTGTATGGCCTGTCACTTGATGGTGCAGCATCGTGGGCATCGGTGGGTGCGAGGTACGCGGGGTTGCGAGTCTGCAGGTCGTTGGCAGCGCTTGGCTGGTGGCGCCACCTGGTGGGCCTTGTGCGCAGCTGCGGTGGAACCAGTAGACAGTCTAATCGCACCGAGGCGCCAGCCTCTGAAACCCCCCAAAAGAACAAAATAGTAATTAAAAGCCACAAAATTGTGCTGGTGCGCGCCATCTGAAACACCCCTTCCCAAAGACATAACATGCCGCCGAAAGAACTTGTTGTAACAACTGCCTCAAGGAAAACAAGTTGCTACTTTGAAAAAAACATGATCTTTGGTCTCCTTCCCCAGAAAAAGCAAGCGTGTATGTAATTAAAACTCCGGCATCTACACAACTCACCTTTAGCAGAATAACAAAACAGATAATCCCGCCTTCAAGCCTGCCTGGATTTAGTCCCCAGCCTTGCCTTTGCTTAAGGAAGGACCCTAGATGGGCTAGGGGGGTGTATTTGAAGTGCTTCTTCAGGGGCTCAACACCCGAACAGGCATTACCGTGACAGGGAGCTTGGCCCGCTGCTTGGAGCTACGCAATTAACCTCCCGATAGTTCATCAAGATTGCCGCGTGGTGTTTCGGCTACAAATGTTAAATCTCTCAGCCACCACACTGGTAGACCTGACAAGAGACACCATTTTTAACCCCTGAAAATGAAATTCAAGAAACCCAATTCCCACAGCATTGCCTTCTGTTCTTTGCTCCTTTGTTCCCGCCCTAGGTGCGAACATCAGCTTTTTTCACGGTGGCAGTTTTGTTGTTGTTTTTGTTGTACCGGAGTTTTCATTCACTGCCTAAGCCTGGGTGGACTGGGATCAGGAAAACGGCACGCACTTTAATTCTAGTCAACCTTTATGGAGAAAACAAGGGAGTGTGTGTGTGTGTGTGTGTGTGTGTGTGAGAGAGAGAGAGAGAGAGCGCCGGCGAGTGAGCTAGGGAGCTTGAGGGAGGGAGGGAGGAAGGAACAGAAAGATGGCGGGAGGGAGCTGGGAGTGGGTGGGGGGAGAGTAGCAGAGCCCACAACTCTAGTCCAGTGGTTCTCAACCTTCCTAATGCCAAACCCTTTAATATCGTTCCTCATGTTGTGGTGACCCCCAAGCATAAAATTATTCTCTTTGCTGCTTCATAACTGTAATTTTGCTACTGTTATGAATCGGGTGACCCTTGTGAAAGGGTCGTTTGACCCCCGAAGGGGTGGCAACCCACAGGTTGAGAACCACTGATTTAGAGTCAAGTAAAGGCTTGAGATATTATTTCTTATTATTTAGTCACAACTCTGGATTTCCCAGATTATCTGATTACTGCATCATCATCTTCAAATGATTTCCTCACTGTGGTTCAAAGTCAGGAAGACAGCCCAATGGAGAATTGGCTCTCCCCACAATTCAGAGGCCCTCTTGGGAAGAGTGGGGCTGAGGGGGAGAAGTGCTTTCAGACCGCAGTAAGGGGAGCAGGGTGATTGCATGAGGTCCGGAAGACCCTCTGGGGCAGTTCTACTCTGTCACATGGGGCCCCTCTGGGGCAGCAGCAACCGGAGGGCACCTGAAAACCAGGGCAGAGCGGCCCCTTGGCGGTTGTGGGCAACAAGGAAAGGTGTGCTGCCCCACGTCTACCTTGGAGAGCCCATGTCACTCACGTTGTTGGTGGATCTTCCACAGCATCTACTACTGTGTGCTCTCTGGCCGAATCTCAGGGCAACAGTTTCCAGGCCACTGGCTGGGCAGAGACGATGCTCACTCAGTCTTGTTCCTCCTTGTCCTCGGGGACCCTACACATTTAATCCGGCTAAGTTCAAGCTAGGACAACGGGCACTGGGGCGAGCAGAGGTCTGGATGAATCCGGATTATTATGAGAACCTCAGCACCTCCTTTCCACCGCCAGACCAGTCAAGGATTGTTGGGGACAGCTCTCACCCGATCTGGTCAGTTGCTAGTGTTCTCAACCCGGTTTTCCATGCATGCAGCGGCCTTCAGCTTTGGGTCTTTAAATGGACACAGGATTTCTGATTCCTGAAGTTTATGTTCTTGGATGCGCATTTTCTCTTGACTAGGCTAGGATGCAAACACACCCACTGGAATAACACAACCAACCAGCCAGCCAGCCAACTGAAAACAAACCAGGAATGTAGCATTAGCAGAAACTGGCAGTGGGGCTCGCGGTGGGTGGCTCGGGGTCTTCATACCTCCGTGGCTCTGTAGGCCAACCACCTCATCCTGCCCTTTCTCCTTCCGCACAAGGTTTGCCTGGGATTTCCCCATTTGTAGAAGTCTCCCTTGTCCCTCTGTCCCCCATGGGTGGAGTGACAGTGCCTCTATTATCTACAATGCCAGCATTGTACTTGGCACTGGGGTACCTGTTCTCCAGTAGCTTCGAGTCTAGTAGAGAACGAGTGTCTATTGCAGCAACTAATGGTAATGGCCAGCATTCACTGAGCGCTTAAGGGACACCAAAGGAACCCTGGTGGCCTGTGATCCGAAAAGTCAGTAGTTTGAAATCACCATTTCGCTCCATGGGACAAAGAGGGGGCTTTCTATGAAGAGTTACAGTCCTGCAAACTCCCAGTGACAATTTTACCCTGTCCCCTATGAGTTGGCCCAAGCCCTATACCTTCTTGATCTGATCTGCCCTAGAAGGTTGGTACAATATCAGCAACAGTATCTACGTCAGAAACCAAGGCAGAATGAGAGGACTAGGTTGTTTAAGGACCGGCCGCAGTGGGCACAGGGGTTCCTGGGCTCGGACCCAGGTCGGGGGGACAGACCTGGTAAGGCTGTTACCACCGAGGCTGGATTCTGACCTGGGGAGCACGGGAGAAGGCCGTCCCAGTTCCACTTCTGTGGGGGACGGTGGGTGATGGAGCAGGTGCGAAGGGACCTTGGCTGGCTTAGGACCCCTCTCTAGTCGTCCTACACACTGCCAGCTATCGGGTCTGCAGAGCTACCTGCAGCGGTTCATAGGCCTGAAAGCCGCTCTCGAGTAGGTTTTGGGGTGCTTGCAGACTCAGGAGAATTGGAAGTGGGATGTTCTGGGAGATTAGGAGGGGCCCTTGCCTCCCCACTCCTGCCCTTCATGGACAGACAGACTCTGGGTCATTGGAGAGGGAGACACCCCTACTCCAACCCCAGCCTCCTGTTGCACTCAGAAGCTCAGAACCCAATCCCAGGACTCTGATGTTTCTCTGCTGGAATTATCTCTGCTACCTGTGTGCCCTCACCCCCACCCCCAGGTGCCTCACTGTCTCTGTGCACAGACACAGAGAAGCGGGCTGGGCGGTTGGGCGAGTATCTGCAGGCCAGAGACGCTCATCCTGAGATTTCTTGGCATGGCCGCGTCCTGGTGGGATTAGTCCCTCTCCCTCCAAGGACCAAAGCACTAGATATTCAAATGGCGGGAATGCTCCTTTTTTAAAAAAAATCATTTTATTAGGGGTTCATACAACTCTTATCACAATCCACACACACATCAATTGTGTAAAGCACATTTGTGCATTCATTGCCCTCATCATTCTCAAAACATCTGCTCTCCACCCAAGCCCCTGGCATCAGCTCCTCATTTTCTCCCCTCCCTCCCTGCTCCCCCCTCCCTCGTGAACCCTTGATAATTTATAAATTATTATTTTGTCATAT